GGGAAGGTACATCAAAGTGAGAAAAGTTGAGATTGGGGGAGGGGGTGGGGACAAAAGAGTGTTTCAAAGATGTAAAAGAGACAGACGCAAAGGTAGAGAAAAGGTGAGGTGAGTATCGTGAAAGTGATGGAATATGACATACAGTGGGGTCATGGTAGTTTGAAGTCAGAAGTCAACTGCCGGTTTATGGACTTTTTTGTCGTATGAGTTTACTTTGCCCAAGGTGCACTACGTGGAGGTAAGTGTATCGCACACCACGCGTAGGCTATTATTGTCTAAGGATTTAGGTAATCCGAGTACACTTGATGCATTTTACTCCAGGTGATTATCAATTTACATCCTCTCTAATACCATGTTCGCATGCTTGTTAAACAATTGTCAGTTCTTTTAAACTGAATACGGAATTTTTTGCATTATATGCTTCTGTTTTTTTTTCTCGGCTCGTGGTTTTGTTATATTAAAAGAGAGTTGCCTACTGGTGACCATTAATAGACCTTCAGTTTTGTAAATGACCTATGATGATGGTCATTGTCACACTTTCGAAATGCAAAAATTTGCCAATAGAGCCCTTGGGGGCCTTTCCTACCGTGCACTCTTAAAACTCCTGATAGCGCTTTTTATGCAATTTGAAACTATTTATCACCACATGTGTTTCATTTATTACTACCCTCATTATGAAAAGCGTTCACTTCACTTGACTTTGAGACCAGGGAAAATTGATTAAATACATTTCTCTCATTAATTGAAAGTTATCAGTGTGGTCAGCCATTGAGTATTGATTGCTTGGCCTCTTAGTAGTTAGACGTACACGTTGATAATTGAGCCACAAACATATTTTTTTCAATTTTACAGGCTCAGACATTCCTTCGGGATACGTAGTGGTCAATTTAATTGGTTTCGTCCGAGAGTTAATCATGAATGATGATCCGGAACATCAGTGGATAGAGAAAATTCGCACCTCAAGGGCTTCTAATGAGGCTCGACAATGTCTTTTCTCCCAACTGGCCGGTAAGTATCCTTGTCATATTTTATAATCAGAATTGGGGCTGTAGTTACAGATGGTCGTTTGTGAAAGTCTTATTTCTCGAGTAAAGAAGGTAGCCTGTTAGCGCTGGAAAACGTGTACACCTGAAAACGCTTCATGGACTTCATCTCCAGCACATTAATGCATTGTTTCCTTAACTTTTGCACTCCTATTAAGATATTCTCTCGTTTCTTTGCTACACTTGGCTCGCGCATTCGAATTCAAATAGTAGAGGAGTGGAGTAACAGATCTGCACAGTTGTATAACCACATAGGGATAGTCTAAATTGCCACTGTGCTTGGTTGAGGATCCTTAATGTACTGAAATTAATGTTTCCCAATCGCAAGCATTAGTGTTTTTATTTGGAGATGTGGAACTTCTTCTGCTAGGCATTGTGTGCTATTTTCTTATTCATCAGCCTTTGAAAATAAATTTCTATTTGAAATTAGTAATTTCAAACCTTTAAAGCCACGAGTTTCTTAGGCCATAAGTTTATTTACGGTCGGACTAAAGGTAAACGTTACATTATTACAGATCTATTTTCCCATTCAACACGTATCATTTCTGGGAACTTCGACTGGTCTTTGTTTTCTGATAGACTAGTTAGTGCCATTTCTAACGAAGGACTATGGTAGGCACTAGAAAATTCTTCCGGAAATTGTGTTTATTTTTCAAATAGATTCAAGATTCTGTTGAATTATATTAGGTTAGATCAGCTGATCCGCCAAAACTTTTTTGTTTAAATGTAGGCAACAATTGAATAATAAACAAGCTGGTGTCAAACTTCTGCCTTGTCAACATTTGTCCCCTCCCCACCCGTCCGTGACTACAATTTTTCACCTTGACCTGAAGATTTGCTTTGTGCTTTTAAGATGTCAAAGTGTCACAAGTAAACATTACGGTCGTTTGTGGCGAGGTGATCATTCTGTGGTATTCTACTGCCCTTTTTGCAGCCTACTTTTAAGCGTTTACTTCGAGTAGTTGTTAGGCTCTTTGGATCTGTAGGTACTTTTTTCCTTGAAGGAATTGATGATGCTTTTTTCACTGGAAGCCTTCAACTTAATGGGGATAAGAAAAGGTTTGAAAAAAATTCAGTCCCAAAAAAATCAATGATTGCATATAGAAGCTCGAGTTGTAATAGGTATATTGTCTTTAAGGCATTTATGGCGTCAATTTCGGTTTAGGCCTTTGAAGTTTGACTTTCATTATATATATATTATTTTACTCCACAAATACTCCTTCTAAGAACGAATAAAGAAATATTCGATCAAATTTATTTATTTTAATGGCATGCGTTTTGATAGTTATCATTAGCCCTTTAGTTGACTTAGGGCTTCACAAAGGGGAGGAACATCAAAGTGAGACAAATTTGAGGGGGGTGGGAGAACAGAAAAGTGATTCACATATGCAGGAGACAGACAGACACAAAGGCTCAGAAGGAGTAAGATGAGTACTGCGGTAGGGATCAAATATGACTTGCAGCCTGCCATGAGAGTTTGAAGTCAGAAGTCAACTGCCGGTTAATAGATTTTTTTGTCGTATGAGCATACGTTGCCTAGGGTGCACCACGTGGAGGTATGAGTATACGTTGCCCAGGGTACACCACGTAGAGGTAAGTCTATTGCATGAGTATACGTTGCCCAGGGTGCACTCCGTGGTGGTATATGAGTATACGTTGCCCAGGGTGTACCACGTGGAGGTAGGTATAGTATACATTGCCCAGGGTGCGCCACGTGGAGGTAAGACCGTATGATTATACGTTGGCCAGGGTGCACCACGTGGAGGTCGTATGAGCATACGTTGCCTAGGGTGCACCACGTGGAGGTAAGTCTATCGTACGTTGTCCAGGGTGCACCACGTGGAGGTAAGTCTATCGTATTCTTAAGAATAATTGTTTAGAAAACCAGCAAGGGTTGAAAGTTGCCCAGGGTGCACCACGTGGAGGTAAGTCTATCGCACGCTGTCCAGGGTGCACCACGTGGAGGTAAGTCTATCGCACACACCCCTCCGCTTCCAAATAAGATGTTGATAGTGAAGGCATATTTCCAGGGTGCACCACGTGGAGGTAAGTCTATCGCACACCCACTTGGCTCTCCCCTCAAATTTCAACCCTACACGGATGGGCTTGTTTTTTTTTATTTTTACTATTACCATTACAATTATAATTATATTCAAGGAAATAGGATATCTTAAAATAAGCAAGTTGAGGCTATCCTAGCTTGAGTGAGGCAAGTTTGTCTAAACATCCCTTAAATCACCTCGTCTCAAATCATACGAAATGGAGATGTGCGGAAGAGAGCGCTCTTGCTTCTGACCAGGAAGTCAGATTGAATAAATTAGGAATAAACTACGCTCTGTTAGCCGAAATTTGAGATCATAATGCATATCGTATTAAAATTAACAAATTTTTGTCTAATTTTCAGGTGAATTGCAGCGCAAGTTGAGTCGAAAGGTACTTAATTTGGGTGGAAATGCTGTGATTGGGTAGGATTTCGCCTTAATCTCTTCCTATTTTAATTACATTTTAACTCGAAGCAAATGTTATTTTTTGACTGGTGTTATTTGCTATCAGATTAAGCAAATATTTATTTCAAAATGCCATCTGTATATTAAGCATGTACTTAACTGCCCTTTCTATTCCTTCTAGGTGTTGGTCTTTGAATTTTTTTTTTGGGTTGTTGCAGAACTGCTCCGTGATATCTAGGTGATTACCGCCTTGGGCTTAAAGATCGGAAAGGGTCGGAAGTCCTATCGCTTTTTCTAGGCAATTAGTTCTTTACTTTCCAAGGAATTCTGCCCGTTGAAGAGTCGGGAATCAATCGACGTATTATGTTTCCTGGGCGTTACAGCAGCAATATTACTGGTAGCCCTAGTGCTTGGAATGGGGTGGGGTGGGGTGGGGTGGGGGGGGGGAGGCAACCCAATAAAGAGCTAGTTGTATTTGTTCTACGGAATTAAGTGAGTGTGTCTGAGTGGATTTGCACTGACGCGTCTATTTGTACTCACCAAACGGATAAGATAATTGAATTGGGGAAAAGACATCTGATAAGGGCAGTTCAAGCCCCATTTATTACAACTTGAAGTGGGCCTTTTCCTTAATCTCAGGTTTTCTAATTTTATTTATTAGCCATTTAAATTAGCTAATGTCTTTTTAATTTGGTGTCATAACGTTCAACTTTGTATGGATTCCTGTAGCCTATCTGTTGAAAAGACTGATTTCTATTGCAAGCTTCCCTAATGCATCTGGATAGGGTTTTGTTCACTAACCGCTGTGTTTTCCACAGTTGCCTTTGCATGTTGGTGATTCATCAGCATTCCTCCATTTCTTTCATTTTTTTTTCTCAAACAACCGAAATAATTGCCCAGTGCGTTGATATCAACTTTGTGTAGATCACTTTCTTTCATAATGTATTCAGATATCGTCTCCACTTCGATCTCGAGGGGGACACAGGAATTGTTGCTCGGGCTATCGGTACAGCAGTCAGACTTCAAAGATCCTCCTCCAGCAACTCACTTCCAACTCCCAAGAGGTTAGCTTTCTTTTCGTTATATCTGCTATATCTGATTTCATGCAAAATAAAACGCCGTTTTTTGCTACTCTTGCCTTTATAGCGTTTGAGAGACTGAATTTGTCTTTAAGTGCTGTTTTTAGCCCTAATTTCCAACTGTGATGCGCCTCGAAATGTTCGCCCCCAAGTAATACTTTGTCTACGTTTGCTCAATTCCAGGGTGTTAAGAAGTTGGAAGACAGCAGTCCTTCCAACTTAACGACAGGTCGCCTATATTTTCAATATATATGCCGAGGAATTGGCCTTCGGTTGAGTTGATGGCGCGGAAGTGGGGAGACTGGAGGAAGAATACTATTGGGCTAATTATTGCGAAGCTTTCTTTTCGGCATTCTACCTGGAGTGCTACTTGCTGATGGGAGGGAGGGGAAGGGGGGGGGAGGGTGAGAAGGTGGACTAAAGACGGGCCCACTATTTTTTTAAAAATTCTATTTAGAATAGTGACTTTTGTCGCTTTTTCTCTCCTTTCCTTTTTTTGTTGAAATTCATGACAATTTGGATGGATTTATATTTGGAAAGAAGTAAAAAAAATAAACACTCTGGCCTTTTCGTAGCCATGGTATATGCCATCGCCACAAAACAGAAAGTAACAGCTGCTTACTTTTAGTCTTGCTTTACTTCTTTTTCCCCTCTTTGGACAATTTTGTCATTTCAGATGCTAACTGGTGTTGGTACACCTTGCCTCAATCGTTTTTTTCTTGAAATTGTATACCTTTCTCGATTATTTCACGAATGTGATGTACATATAGCTGTAAACAGTCAATCATTTCAAAGATTCAGCCGGTCTTAGTGAAAGAGGATGTGGTATCTGTAAGTTTTTGCAACTAGTAAATTTCTATTAGGTTGGCAACTAAGTCATTGCCGATTTCAAATAAGAAGGCAAATTCCGAATTTTTGTTTAAAAATATAACTTTATTCAACTAGATATCGGCCGTTCTTGTCGGTGACCTTTTTCCATCGTTCTGGCAGAATAAAAATTCCCCGTTCGTAAAATGTCTGGTCTTTGCTATTAAAAAACTGAATTAGGTGTGATCCGACATCGTCCGCGTTGTTAAAAATTTTACCATTTAAAGAGTTTTGCATGGAACGAAACAAATGGTAATCCGAAGGCGCAAGGTCAGGGCTATATGGTGGGTGTGACAAAACATCCCAACCCAGTTCCAATAATTTGTGCCGAGTAACCAAAGATGTGTGGGGGGGGCCTTGCGTTATCATGATGGAAAACAACACCCTTCCGCCGATTTGATAATGCCGCCCGCTTATCTTCAATTGCATCCTTCAGTTTTTCGAGTTGTTCAACATACACATTTGAATGTATCGTTTGGTTCTGCGGCATGAGTTCAAAATACAAAATTCCTTTGTGATCCCACCAGACTCACAGCATAATCTTTTTTTGGTGAATCTCTGCTTTTGATACTGTTTGGGCTGGTTGATCTTGCTTCACCCATGATCTCTTGCGAGTAACATTGTTATAAACTATCCACTTTTCGTCGCCAGTAACTAGGTTCTTCAGAAATGGATCGTTCTCATTGCGTTTCAGTAGCGAATCACAGATGCTAATCCGTTGCGTCAAATGAATTTCCTTTAACTGGTGAGGGATCCATAAATCAAGTTTCTTGACATAACCAAGGGTTTTTAATTTTTTTCAATGCATGTATGCGTCACATTGAGCTTCTCTGCAATATCTCGTGTTGTGCTGTGACGATTTGAATCGATAATGGCCTTGATATGGGTTTCATCCACTTCGACTGGGCGGCCAGATCGTTGTGAATTTTTGAGTGAAAAATCACCGGAACGAAATCTTTCAAACCAATTTCGACACTGCCTTTCTTCCTCACGGCTTCATCTCCATATACGGCACATAACTTCTTTTGTGCTTGCGATGCGTTCTTGCCTTTTCGGAAGTAATACAATAAAATGTGTCGGAAGTGCACGTCCTGTTCTTTCATTTTTAAATTGGGATAAAAACAAAACTAAAGAACTAAACAAAAAAATTTTTTACTAATTAACCTAGAAGCCCATACAGTAAGAAAAAATATAGGTTAGATGCTCTGGCCATGTTAACAAAACAAAAGAATGTATAGAGTGAATCTGTCAACAATAACGGCAATGACTTAGTTGCCCACCCAATAACTGACTTTTGCACCCAAATGTGAGTGTGTAGATTTCGTTTTAATCTCGATCCGTGATAGGGTCTCCATCTGTCCTTCAATGCGTTTGTAGTGATTTATTTCAAACCATTGCTTTTTAATGGAATCTAACTTTGTATTATACTAACACGGTGAATGAATCCGACCCGAAATCTGTCCATCTTCTCCCTAACAAGTGGCTTTGACATTTCACCTGAATGTAGTGTCCCTAAAGGTGTGTTCATTTATCCTCAAATAGATTTTCACTTTGGTGTATGCACCAGTTCGCTTCAATACGCCTGTCTTCTTTACAGTGTCTACTCTCCTTCTGGCTATTATCTTTCATATCATATCCGAGCATATTGGATATTGGTTTGGTTTGAAAATTCTAAACTATCTTGTTAAGCCATAATTTAATCTGCCTGTCGTTGCTAAGCCCTTCCCACACAATTGTGTAAATGGCCTCTACCTGACAAAGTAAACATTTGGCTAGTGCATAATAGTAGCCAAGGCATCCGATATAATTATTTTGCCCAGCGAAGAACCAATACCGAATGATTGATAATGGTTACACACACTTTAAATGAAGTTTCATTTTAACTTCGAATTACATTCACACATTCGCCTGCAGTTTCTTAAACCGCTCTAAACTCTATTCTAGAATTGGCGGCCTTGAATTTTGGCATATCAGTCCTTAACGGTAGTAGTATCAATTTGCTTTTCAACTTCAGTTATTGCTCTTTTCTATCTTCGCATTTGAAATTGCTGCAGCTCGAACTTCATTTTACCCATAATTTACCTCCCTGATTATTTACAACTACTGCGGGTTTTCCATTATAATCGCGTGGGGACACGCTAGAGTAGAGATTTCCCACCCACGTGTCCTTTTCCCATTTAAAACAATCGCTTAGCCCAGTTCGTCTAGAAAACGAGTAGGAAACAGCGCTTCGAAAACCGGGTGAAAAGTGGGTGGGGGGCAGCGTTAGTGTAACTGTCAATGGGATATCATTAGGAAAAATATCCAACCTAAACCCAAGGTATAAGTGATAAAAAGGAATCAGCCCTATTTTGAAATATTTCAATGCCTCGCATATATTGATTGTACCAATTTCACGTCATTAATATTCCCCATGGAGGTGTAGCAAATGTTTGAAAGCTTGAATTCATTTGGCGTAACAAATAATTCTCTTAGGCATGACACGAAGTCAAAGCGTCCATATCCTTACTTTGTTTGAATTCAGGAAGTGTTGAGTTGCCCGAATCCTAGAAAGTGACGTCCAAATTCATTACTGAAATTACTTCCACTATATGCAAAATTTTGTGCTGATTAGTTGCAGCAATGCTACCGTAATTGTGATTATTAGATTTGGCACAGCCAAAAATTAATATCATAACCCAGTCTCCCATGAAGGTTTATTTATATCAAATGATAGGTTTCGTGCTCTACAGAGGGAAGGAACATCAAAGTCACGAAAAGTCCAGGAGAGGATCAGAAGAGTGGTTCATAGATGTAAGAGACAAACAGACACAAAGGTAGGGAAAAGAGTAAGGTGAGTACTGTGGAAGTGGTCAAATATGGCATGCAATCGGGTCAGGGTAGCTTGAAGTCAACTGACGGATTATAGAATTGTTGCCGTATGAGTATGCGTTACCCAGGGAGCACCACATGGAGGTAAGTCTATCGCGCATCCCTTCACTCAACGTCAATTGTGTGTCCCCTTAGCAGAAGTAGCAGCAGGCCACTACTGACATTAACAATAATGTTGCTGCTTGAGACTATCCACCAACACTCGTCCCGACAGACCGACATCCTGTAGTGAGTTAATTGCTCGTGTTGTTTCCACTCCCAGTAATCGCATCTTTATTCATAGGTGAATCATAATTCGGTACGCTGAAGATAAAAGATGACATTCTGATAGATGCCGCTCTAATAGCCCTTCTGTAAGATTTGCAACATGCAGCCTTTGGGGATTTGCTTGAAAATCATCGACATCTTCTTCCGGTGGCACGTCTCTCTTTGGGCAGTTGTACTGTCGACGAGCCATGCGGAGGGACGCATTCAGAGATATAATTACTCTCACATTTACCATTTCATTCACCTCGCGAAACCCTTTTGTGCTTTAAGCGTCAGTGTTTACCATTTGCATTTAATGCGTTTGACGTTTATTCGCATGTAATCGAAATTCAGATGCCTTATAACCTTAACCGTTTTGCATTCATTACATATCTTCAATCTCACTGTAGGATGTAGGCGTTGCTTTCAATAATGCATCAAAGAAATGGAGCATAAGGTTCTAACTTTGTTAAATGAAAATCTTCATGTTTTCTCCTTTAATTTTTCCCTCCCTCCCTCCC